CATTACATCTATACTTGCTGTCCACCAAACAAGACCATAAACTACTTGAAACCTCAAGTAAGTACCAGTGCCATTGAATAGAACCTCTCTGACACATCACATCAGCAAGATTCCATCCTCCTTACACTTGCCTACCACCTCCCATTTCACCTAGTGAAAGGTACAACTTCCATTGTTCCCTGCCCCAGAAGAGCCCTCTAGAAGTTTCCTTGGTTGTGGACTAGTATAACCATATGTAAGTCATTAATCAGAACATTAAATAGAACAAGATAATGCTAAGCCTTGCTGTAATAAATCACTTCTAGCTTCAAAGGAGAGAAATTGACTTTTCGATGGACAAATCTTCTCATGAGCATTTCAATAATATGATCTCATAGCCCTTTCTTAGGTTTCTAAAATCCAAGGTAAACCAAGACATTCATGCGATTTCCTTTTTGTCCTTTCCTTTTTCCCTAAACTGTTCCCAGTAAGCATTAAAGGAACTCCAGAAAAGAGAGGCACAGACAGAGAAAGAAGGTTGAAGATATTAAGGAAAAAGCCTACAGAGAGAATAAAGAGAGGAAAAATGGAGAGATAAGGGAAGAAGGCAGAGGTTAGAAGGAAAAGGGATTCAAGGGTTCAGACAAAACCAGAGAGATATTGGTTAGAGAGAGACTGATGATGGTCAGAGAGAGGCTGGGGAGAGAGGGAGAGGATAAGAGGAGAAGAATAGCCATGGAAGGGGTCAGAACTGAGATAAATGGGGAGGAGTTAGAAGTTGGGGTAAAGAAAAGAAGGTAGAGAGTATGGTGGGTAGAAGAGAACAGAAAGATGGAGGTTTGGGTGACGTAGAAGAGAAGAGAGGGAGAAGAGTAAAATGAAACATACCTGATTTGAGGGGCTGTTGGGAGCGGCAGCAAGCCTCAAGCATAGGAGGATCTGCTTGGGATTCTTCTGAAATAGACGAAGACAAGTACCCCTCTATCCCTCTTAATCCATCATCCGGCAATTATTTTCCTCTTCCTATTTTCCCTGTTTACCTTTTTTCTTCATGATTTCCTTTTTTTTTCTTTTTTATTTCCTTCTTTTTTTCTCCTTTTCCTTTTCCATGTCCATTACAACTAATAAGCCGTGGGAGTGAGAAGCCGAAAAGGGGGAGAAATGAGAGAGAAAGAAAGGGGAGAGGGGACCAAATCTATGTATAGAAATGAGAGAGAAAGAAAGGGGAGAGGGCGACCAAAACTATGTATCTTGCTGAGATGTAGAACCAATGTTAGCTCCCTCTTTTGCTAGCCGATCTGCCTCAGAATTTGCCTCTCTATAGATATGAGTGAGAGCCTACAAGAAGGCTGTTGAAGCTTTGTCACCCAACAGAGTGTTGAAATAGTCTGATTTCACTAAAATGCCTTGTACTTCTGGCGCTAATTCAGGTATCTGATAAAGACCTACTAACAGAGCCTTAGCTTCCGTGAAAGTTGAATCCTGGTGGCCTATGAACTCAGAGAAGGTCAGGATGGTTGAAGAATGGGATGTCAATGTTCCTCCAGTGCCCAAAGGGGAACTATCTATATTGAGTTTGAGGAAGCCTTTGGGGGGGGACCATTGAGGTCTGGGTCTATTCATTTGGACTGCTATGCGTACGAGGCAATTCCAGATATTTAGGAAGTGAGAGATAGGGAGGCTGGCAAAAATGGGAATCGAGTTGGCCCAGAAGGCAATCAGTGCAGTTATAGAATCACAGACAACCTGTATCATTTTTTGTATACCTCTAAAGGTCCTAGAGTTTCTTGCTAGCCAAATACTCCAAAAGAGGGCAGCAACAGCAAGTTGCCAAAGTTTTCTCCCTATTTTTGAAAAAGGTGGTGCAAAATATGTTTCAAAGAATTGGGTCAGAGTAGCTGGGGTGACCCATGGTAAGCTGAAAAGGTTGAGGAGAGAAGATCAAAGGCTTTGGGACACTTCACAATGGAAAAAAAGATGAGGAATTGTCTCCTCTTCTTGGAGACATAGGATGCAGCGGTTAGGGAAGGCAAAACCTCTCTTTTGAGTTGATCAAGTATGAGGGTTTTACCATGTAAGAGAACCCAAATGAATGCCTAAACTTTGTGACGTATAGGTAGAGACCAAGAGAGATTGATTAGGGGTTTAGGAGTGGGATTGGATAATAGGGAGGAGTAAAAAGATGAAACAAAGAAGGAACCCGAGGGGGCAAGGGACCAGATTAGGCAATCGGGTCTAGATAAAGTACGAAAACAGCTTCCTAAAAGTTGTAATAGCGAGATTAGGGCGGTTGATTCTTGGTCAGTGAGATTGCGCCTGAAGATGGGTGTCCAGACCAGAATTGTGCCTAAGAAAGTCGTGTAAACTGTGACAAGGCCCGCTTGATTACGAGCAATAAGCAAAAGAGAGGGGAAAACTAAAGAGATGGGAGATGATCCTAGCCAGATATCAGTCCACAATTTGATTCTTAGGCCATTGCCTAATCTGTATCTAGATCTGTATTCTGGTGGAAGATATACTTTTCCATGCACCTGAGGATCTGTGTTGGGGGGATCTAGGATGCGAATCAACTTCGTTCAGCCCATATTTAGATTGAACTACTTCTTTCCAAAGGAGGGTGAGGAGAAGCGAATTTCCACCACCAGTTGCCTAGGAGAGCTCGATTCATGATTCTGAGATTTTTAATTCCTAGGCCACTGAAAATCTTTGGATTGCATACTATATCCTATACTACTGAGTGAATTTTCCTAGTTTCATCTACCCCTGACCAAAGGAAATCTCGCATGAGTTTTTTCCAATTTTTTGATGACTGATAAAGGGATTTGGAAAATTGACATGTAATAGATGGGGATACTGCCTAAAGTTGCTCGGATGAGGACGATTCTCCCCCCAAATGAGATCTGCCTTTCCAGGAGGCAAATTTCCAAGTGAATCTCTATACAAGGTTATCCCACATATTTTTCTTTGGTTTTCCTAAGCAAAGGGGAGGACCTAGGAAAGAGGATGGGATGGTTTCTGAGGCACAACCTAAATGAGAGGCAAGGCTGAGAAGAGCTGCATTGTCAACATATATACCCATATTTTAGCCTTGGAAAGGTTTACTTTCATACCAGTAAGCAACTCGAAGGTTCTCAAGAATCTCAAAGACATTCTACTTGGGAAGGATTGGCGTCATAGAAAATGAGTGTGTCATCAGCGTAAAGAAGGTGAGAGATGATAGGACCTGAGGCGGAAGAAAGTGAAAATTGGTAGCCTGAAAGCTGGAAACCCTGTTTGATAAACTGTGGTGCTACTATTTTCACCTGTTTGGTAGTGGGAAAGCAAGAAACAACCTGTTTTAACCGTTCAATATGTATTTCATTGATTTGATGCGCAAAATGTCTATTTTGGAATAAGATTTTCTTGCTATAATCCATCTAATGCATTTCTTACAATGTATCGTTAAGATGGAAATTTAATCTCATATCTATGTGACTTAAGAGAGAAAAACCCTAAGTAAAAAAATAAAATTTCAACCACACGAGTACACCAGAAAAGATAAGTACATACCCATATCAAAAGTTTACCACGGAAGTCTTATGAAAGGCATGACAATGTTTCGAAAGCATAACAATATTTCGTTACAACTCAAGACAAAAGATATGAACATATATGGAGAACAATATAACTTAGTACAATTCCATGTAATCCACTATGGATCATTCCATGAAAATACTTGCACGAAAACATCCATTCAAATCATTTATGGCTCCTTCTAATAAGTTTAGGCCAAAACTTTCATAAATGCATATCTTATAAAATGTAATGGTTGAGATTGAAGTTTGTTCTTGTATCGTGCAATGCTCATTTAACATTTAAATCCCAAAAAACAGGGCGAGCATATCAACAACTGGAAGCGAAAAACCGACTCTAATCCAAAGAATGATATTAAGATGATAATTTCTCCTAGAAAACCAAACGAAAGGAGAACGAATTTCAATCGAACCACTCATTTGAACCACAGAGTCCACCCATAGCAATTCTACATAACAATAGCAATAATTCACAACAAAAATGATGGAACAAAATAAATGACTAATCAACTTATCCATGGAAGAATTTTTTTTTTTAAAAAAAGTGCATAAGAAAAAATGAGCAATAATGATGAATAAATCATGGATAAACTGAATAAAATACTCATAGAAGAATCCTAAGATGTGAAAAATTACAGAAATAGCAACGCAATCAAACAACAAACAGATGAATAACAAATCAACGAAGTTACCAACTAGTAGCAGATCATTAAAAAACAGAATCAGATCACACCAAAACACGATTGAATTCCACCCCAGAAACACATTTAAAAAATAATGGTACCTCAAAAGAGGCATATGAACAGCACCTCGAAAGAGGGAAAAAAAATCGCACCTCACAAGACAGCAAAAAAAAAAAAAACAATATGAACAAGACCATTCATGCCATTCATGGATGAACGGCATGCCATTCCATAAAAAAGTTAACTTCAAAAAAAAAAACATGTCATCCATGTAAAAAATACCAAAAATGCAGAAAATTTGAAGAAAAAATAAGAAAACTTCAAAAAAAAACATGTCATTCATGGTAAAAATATCAAAATTGCAGAAAATTTGAAGAAAAAAATAAGAAACTAGACAACAAACCTGTGAATGATTCTTCAGTTAAATGAGCAGAATAAACGAACTTGACCCTATTAAAGTTGGTTATTGATATTCCGTATAATCTCTTTAACAGAAAAACCATATATTAGATTTGGGTATTCTCTAATGCAAAACTAAGGTTAACAGCAAAACCCTGTTAAACTTCTAGAAAGAGATCAATGAAACCTCCGACTAGAATGTCGAGAGATAGACCTAAATCATCTCAAAGTTCTAGAGAGAGACTCAAACCCATCTGAAGATTCAATAACATCTAGAGACAAATGAGGCTAAGCAAAACCAGTCTCAGAAATTGTAGAGAGAGAAACAAAGAGACCAAGACCAAGAGAGAGAGACGGATGAGCGTACCTGCTATCCTCCTTCCAGAGGAAGAAAGTAGGGTTCCTGGATGGCGAGAGCGAAAATGAGAGAGTGAACTTTGGGCCAGGAGGAGGGAAGTTGCAGGGCTGTGTCTCTGTGGGCCGAGCGGCAATGGTAGGCTGCGTTTGGGTTGAACCTCAGTAGGGCAATGAAAGGGTTTTAGTAGAGAGAACAGAAGGTGGAGTTCGGGTTAAAAGTTGAAACTCGGTAACGCAGTAGAAGTGGCAGTGCAGGGACCGCCACTTTAGTCAAGGAACCGTTAAACGGGTCCGATTTTCTCGGTTTTTACCTTTCTCGGGTGAAAAAAATTCATGTCTAACAGGACCCGTTACCTGGAAATGGGGTTGGGGCACTTCAACCGGTGAGAAATTGGGCAGCTCAATTGACCTAACCGGACAAGATTTGAAGAGTCAAAACAATATTAAAAACTAAATAAATATAAAATAAATCTAATAAAATATAAAATATATATTTAAAGCTTGATTAAATAAAGCCCATCCAATGAAGTTAAAAATTAATGAAATAATTGAATTTTAAAATTTTAATTTGTGTCTATAAGTATTTTAATTTTTTAAACAAATATGTGAAAAAATTTTAAAAATAAATATTAAAAACAATTTTTAATCATCAAAATGATAAAACACATTAAAATATATATAGTCGTGGGAGGCAAGGCACACAGGGATAGG